GACGCGGGGAGAAGCAAAGTAGGAGCATATTAGAAGTTAGGTTGGCATTCCGTTGTCAAACATGTAGTTTCCTGTGACTTTCTCTTAAGCAGTGAAAGGAAAACCTCCTTGCTTAAATGCGCACATCGACACGTTTCAAAGACGGGCCAACTTGGCCCTCAAGGTTTCTACCGCTCTCACAGGCAGTCGAACAAACAGAGCATTGCACTAACCACAGTCTTTGACTGCTCTGTAATATCTGAAATCATTTTCATGTGCTAATTTTGCTCTGTGGTCTGGTCCAATTGCATAGGCTGAGGACACTGAAATGTGATTGGTCAATTTTTCCAACCTCCTTAAATCCGAGATCCTTATTGGTTGAAACCAGAGATCAATTGTACAACTCCTCCCTCACTTGTCCAGCCGGCTCATTCGCACGTAGGCTTCTCATCGTGAAGGGTGCGTTGCTACTACATCTATTTTTCCGTGAGCTACGCAGAAGTCGAGCTTGATTTTTTCATTATTCAGCATCCCATTATTTTCTCATTGTAATTTTTGGAAAAGCAAAATTATAAGTCAATTAATATTAGAGTAGGTAGATAAATTAGCTTGAGTGAATATCCGCCGATAGACATGTCATGACATATGATATGAACCACTGTACCATTTCACATACTTCTATTAAAATGATAGTTAAGGAAACTCCTTGAAGGTATAGGGGTTTGTCCCTCAAGCCTTAATCAGGATCCCGCTCCCATGCATATGATATCAAGGCAGATGATCTCTCCTCAACCTGACTTCACACAATTGAGCTGACTGTACAAGTCCTTCTTAAACTATTTCGAAATACTGATATGTCAGGAGTAGTACTTAGTTGTTTTCAAAATGTTAAAACCACTACCATCCAGACTGAATTAAACGTCAACATTTGTCCAACTTTTTCTTAATGTCACCTGATCTTGGCTGTTGCCCACATTTCTTTTATTGCAAATTTGGCACAATCTATCCGTATGCGAACTAAACAATCCACATGGATATCTTTTAAGGACAATTTTCTGGTGCGGTCAAGTGATTGGATGACGATTTAAACAAAATATGACTAATGATGGCCATGGACAAACTCCAACATAGCCTTATACGATAAAACCGACTTTCCTAGAGTCACCTTTTGCTTGTTATGCATTCTAACTAGCAAAACAACTCACTCAAATTTTTACCAAGATAAGCAGATGTTCCAGTTTTGGTATCCTGTCTTTAAACAACCCATAATTAGCTACAAGTGCAATTTTATTGTTTCCACTCCTTCCCTGGTAAAGATGAGAAAGCTCCTGGTATTGTGTGTGTTCGCACTGGTATCATCGGCAAGAGGCAGCAATTACGACGCCTATTTGGCAGATTTGTACCATCGAAATCGGGAGGTGCACGATGCCTTCCGTCGAAGCTATCCCAATGGGGCTTATGTGCTGGACTCCGTGATTACATCACCTGATTTTTATCAGGTACATCCCATTCTACGGGAATACGAAAGCGGAGAGGATTATGGAGGTAATTGTAACGATGCTTCTGAATGCTTTTTCGTGTTGAAATTATGAAGGTACTGTTTTTAATTTCTTGAACTTGATGACTGACGTAAACTGCTAGTGATAAAGGAGGATTGTTTTGACTGCTTGGTTCGGCAGATGCAGATAGCAACGACGACTGGGATCGCCTACTGGGGAGTCTCGCCTTTGCTCAGGATATTGCGAGTAATCCGGACACCGAATTCGCCGAGAAGCGCTTCCATTCTTGGTTGTCCGAGCAACAGTCAGCAAGAACCAACGACACACCAGTTCGTGCACTCGTTTATCCAGCTTATGCAGGAAGTGAATTTGCACCACAGGACTCCATGTGGGGCACACATCGGGTGTCCGGCGGTTCCTCGGAGGTCGGTCGGTGGATGGACTATGCGGTGTTTGGAGCACAGGCTCAAGAAGACGATGATGACAATGAAAACGGAGAGGAACTGACAGCAATGGAACCGGGACCAAAATCGGAAGTGAAGCTGGATCAGCTGCCAGCCTACTGTGATCCTCCCAACCCCTGCCCCATTGGTTACGATCCTGCCACCTTAGCAACACCTTGTGATGAGGGCGTGGTCAACACGGCGGAGTTCAATAGGAACTGGATTCTCCGAAAAATGCGAAATGGCGAGTGTTTGTGCGATGAGGAACATATGGAATCATGTCCAAGGGTGAGTCGGGCCAGCGAAGGGACCCTTGAAAGTTTCCATCGGGTAAGCATTTCTGTTAGTTAGAAGTCAACTAGCCGAGGCTCAATTTTTAACCTTGACCTTCTGCTAACTTCTGTTATTAGGAGTGAAACCGAGGCAGTTAAGTCATATTACCAGAAAATTCTACCTTTACGGGTTTTAGGGAAGAGAATGAAGAGTGACAGATGCACATGATACTTTGTGGTTATTTGCCCTATTGCTTTTTGAGCTTTGCGACTTGTGTGGATGAACAAGTATCGTTGGGTATCGAGAATTTCCCAAAGGCCAACGAAAGCATGATACTTAACAGGAATAATGTATTGATGGCATGGAGGGGAGGCGGAGTCGCTTCATACACCATGCCCGGAGCAGCAGGATTGAAAGTCAGCTCTGGTATCAGAGAGGCACGAGGTGATTTTAGGGAAGTTTGTTTCAGATCGCGATGGCAAAAAACTTGTGCACAACTTTATCTCTCATTTTGATCCACAGAGGTGGTAGACGAAATTCTCGCACTTGTATGGTTCAAACGTTTGCCAGAGGCTTAATTGCTGCTCCCATAGCAGTGTTTAAATTGTTATTTTGTCCCTACAAGGTGAGTGTAGGTATCAAGGTCAATACATGACCTTGAACTCTTGATTCTCATTAAGCAAACCATTAACAAGGGAACATGAAAGCATCAGTAATGAGGATAAACTGATTAGCCGTAAGGAACAAGTGTAAGCCTCGGTTCCCTTCGAACCCTTTGTTGGGAGATGGTCAGAACAATTTGGACTTGATCATGACGAAGAGCACTTTTCGATCCACCAAATTTGTGTAGGCGAATAGATAAACCAAATCCTTGATAATTATGACCGAAAGAAAGTGAAATTAATCTCTTGTCTGCTTCACTAGACTGGTTAAATTGTAGTCTCCTCGTCATCTGTAAGCCGGACAGGCTGGCGAGAGGAAAGGTGGAGGAGCTATCAGCGGTCGACTAACACATAGTTAAAACAGATAATAGCTCCAATTATTTATTTCCACCGGTTGTAAATTGCCAGAAGTATCCTTACTGTGTCCAGTGGACTTCTACCTCTAGCCTTATAGTTTAGAAATAAAACATGGATAGAGTTTGAGAGGTACAGATATTAGGCCCCAAGAGTGATTCCTCCCCTTTGGGAATCGATGGCGTTTCAATCCATTTCAGCCGCGTTTACTGACGTCCCACTCACACCATATCTTAGATTCGGTCCTTCTCTCAAGCCAGTATCTGGAGGTCAAGTTGAACAGACAGTGATGCTGTCAAAGTCTGTTTGATTCGCTGTCCGAAGTCTTTTCCTTGTAAAGCGGTATCAGAAGCCTCGGTCAAGCTGATGAGATGCTGAAGTTCCCTCCGTTTCGATTCATTGCTAATTTACCTGTTCGACCTCCCAAAACTCATGAACAATAGTATTGCATGGAAAAACTGTGCTTAGATTCTCATGATGACACTTCCTACGCTCAAATGTAGAGTGAAACAGATGCGTATACTTTTGCCGAGTGGCTCTAGTCCTAGTTACTACCACCACTACTTGG